AAAGACATTCAGAGCAATTTCCAAACATAATAATTATGACCACAACAAAACGAAATGACAATGTCAACCACTTACAGAGAAAAAACAGCTCTACTACTAATTGAACTGAATAAAACCAGGATTCCCCCACAGCTTGTTCTTTGTGTGACTATGCATATATGAGACTGGATTATCACATGCACAGCCCTAAATGACATCAGAGCTACATTTCTCCCACCGAGACATGACATTGACAACACACTCTACTCTATGGAACATTACAGCAACTGCAGCACACGTCCTGTACGGCTTATCACTTCATGGCATTGGACAGAATGAAGGCCGAGGGCCAAGCTGTTGCTGGATGATAACATCAACAGCACAACAATAAAAACAACAACAAACAAAACAAAACAACCACAGACAAATTAACGAAATCACGAGACATGGGGAAAAGCAAACAGAAACGAGAACGGCACTCTCTTCTCTTCAACCATGAAGTTATTTGGCTATTTTACAGACGTTATATACGCAACATAAACTGAATTTTCAAAAAGTAGTTCCATCTCTTACTTCAAACTATTTGTGTGCCCACCCCCTTTCTTTTTTTTCTCCCCCCAAAAAAAAACAAAACAAAACAAACAAAAACAAAAAAAAAACAACTTCTAGAATCTAGATCTAGTTCTTTCTGTCTCATTGATTCTTCGTTTGAGTGCTTTCATCAAATTTTTACTTCATTTTAAGTTTTTTTTTTAAATGAGGCGCGCTACAGCGTTGTCGATTTTCGTGTTGGGGGTCTTATTTGTTTGATTGTTGCCATCAGGTTTTATTTTTTAATTAATTAATTTTTTAACTTTTTAAAAACTTTTTTTTTTTTTTTTTTGGGGGGGGGGGGGGGGGGGGGTTATATTTTAAAAGAAAAGATCATGACCGTCCAACTCAACCACTAAAAAGGCTAACGGTTCAGCCTTCAGGAAATTGAAGATAAATCAGTTGCCGATATCATACTCATCTGGTCATCAGGCTTTGCCGTGTGCAGACGGATGTGAAATCTTTTATCCCCAATTCATAATTCTTTCTAAAGGAAACGACTCTTTTTCCTCCCTCATTTTTTTCTCCCCCCCCCCCCTCTCTCTCTCTCAATCCCTCTGCCCCCCCCCCCTCACCCACTCACTCTCTCTCTCTCTCTCTCTCTCTCTCTCTCTCTCTCTCTCTCTCTCTCTCTCTCTCTCTCTCTCTCTCTCTCTCTCTTTTACTGTTTCTCTTTCTCTCCCATTCTTTCTCGCTCGCCCTCATTGGTAACTCGAATACAACACTCGTTTTCTCCTCTTTCTCTTCTTTTCTCTCATTCCCTTTTCGCCCCTCATCCTCTCTCTCTCTCTCTCTCTCTCTCTCTCTCTCTCTCTCTCTCTCTCTCTCTCTCTCTCTCTCTCTCATATATTCAATTAGTTACTCTGTCTGTCTGTCTGTCTGTCTGTCTGTCTGTCTGTCTGTCTGTCTGTCTGTCTGTCTGTCTGTCTGTCTGTCTGTCTGTCTGTCTGTCTGTCTGTCCACTTTCTACCTCCTCAAACTTCACTCTCCTTCCACCCGTCAAGCAATTTATTCCAGGGCCCGCACTCTTCGATGTATCGATCCAACGCTATGGGAAATCGCTCAATGAGACGCAGGCTGGCAGCTTCGTGGACAGACGGAAGCTCACAGAACTGGGAGAAGAAGTGATAGCACAAATATATCTTTTTAAAAAAGTAAAAATTGTTTTCGTCGTCGTTGTTGTTGTTGTTGTTGTTTTCAGGTAAGTCCTTTACGGTGCTCGGAACTGCATAATAAAGTCATATGAGCGCGCGGGACACACAAATATTTTCAGTTGGTAGGAAATTTTGAATTTTGCTCGGGTGGCGGCCGAAACCTACTCCTATCGATTTTGGACCACCAAGAGATCTTAAACGTGCGCAACCTGCACACGGGACCTCTTAACGTTTTCGCCCTTATCGGAGAAGGCTAGGTGTAGATCTTACAAACTCTAAGATCAGGGGTGTGGCTGAAAGACAGCAATAAGAAGGAACCAAGGAGTAGCATTAGAAAGGCTGCAGAAAGAGTCAGGAGCCCAGAGGAGGAGGCAAAGGAGGTGAGGGAGTGGAGGCAGAATGTGGAGACGAAAGCAGACGATAGAACAATGTTAGAGAGCAGGAAAGGGTGTCAATGTTAGAGAGCAGGAAAGGGTGTAAAAGCAGAATTTTTAAAAATAGAAGTAGTAGTAGTAGTAGTAGTAGTAGTAGTAGTAGTAGTAGTAGTAGTAGTAGTAGTAGCAGTAGTAGTAGTAGTAGTAGTAGTAGTAGTAGTAGTAGTAGTAGTAGTAGTTAAGTAGTAATGATAATAATAATAATAATAATAATAATAATAATAATAATAATAATAATAATAATAGTAATAATAATAATAATAGTAATAATAATAATAATAATAATAATAATAATAATAATAATAATAATAATAATAATGAAAAAATATGCATTAAAATAACGCATATCCACTATCTACAGCTCGCTCTATGCGCTTTACAACTATCATTACCCCAGCAGATTTTCTGAGAACACCCAGGAACATTCTCGGCTTCCCGAGAAGCATACAGTGCAAGCTGCAGATATCAAACTAACAAGATCTTTCACTGCTGTCTATAGCCGGGTAAACATTTCCAACTGGGTGAAGTGAGGTTTAAATTCGTGCAAAGTGCTTTTTCAAGGACTCAACATCGGGCCCCTGATGGGATTCAAACCCACGACCCTTCCGGTTGCGAATCCGAGAGCCTTATATAACCACTAGGCCACCGACGCCAACAACTACATAGCGGTTAATGTCACAGCAACCATTATTTCTGCTCTCCTCGCACGGAAAATTTCCCGATGCATTTAGGGGAAAGTGTTCCTCGTGGTAAACAAAAGATCATCCCAACAGGGTCGTTACGAAACAACATTGACATCAACATGGAAGGTGGGAGACCTTCTGCTCGCCCCCTCCCTCCGCCCCCACCCCCTTTTTTTCCTTCTTTTTTTTATAGGCATTTTATTTCACAGATTATTTTAACTTTTTACTACGTGGCGTCGGTGGTCTTGCGGTTAGGCTCTCAGACTCGCAACCGTAAGGTCCTGGGTTGCGGTCGAGCGGGGATATGCGTTATACAAATGCTATTTATTATCATTATTGTTATTATTACGTCCCTTAAGTTAAGGAATTAAAAGGTGCGCCGTCAGCTCGGTTGGTAACCTGCGAGACTGGCCTCTGTGGTGTGTCGATGTGGCGTTTCATTGTCAGACTCAGAAGCCACGGGTTCAATTCCCGTGCGGGGAGGATTTTTATCGAGTAATTTAGTCCTCCTGTTTTGATGTTGTATCCCTCTCAACCCTGAAAGACACAGTCGAAACCCGCCTCCTAGTTAATTATCTAAGTTGTTTGTTTTAGTAAGGTTTTACGGCGCTCGCAACTGCATAAGGTCATATGAGCGCCAAGGGGTGGATGTCAACAGAGAAGTCCAAACGGGGAAATCAGGCGTACTCTGCTCATCTCTCTAGCCTCAACAGCAGAAAGTCTTCTTCGACTATCAAGGCACCCCGGAAATAGCAGTTCACAAGAGTGACAAACATACAGAAGAAGTAGATCTAGAGGAACAAAGACGATAGTAAGGATGAGGAAAGAAAAAGCAACTGTTCCCTCTATGTTGTTCCGGTACAGTATGAGCATGATATTCATAAATCAGCCCATTTACAATTCTACTGTGCATAAGAACATGTTAATATCCCCCTTTGGGTAAGGGACAAAACAAAACAAAAGAGGTTTCAAAGAATAATAATCTATTAGACAGCAGCACTGGCTACCCTGGCAATGATTTCACACAGGGCAATCTTATACTTTAAAAAAATTAATGAATTTTCAAGACTCCCTAATCACGAGGTGGAGCTATTTTGTTTAGATGGACTTTGCCTTTGAAATAACGTTACTGATTTGAAAGACCGTTATCCTACCTTACTTCACAGTTGGACAGCTGAGATGTTGAACACATTCTGTCAATGAGCTTTTTTTTAAGGGTGGGGGGGGGGATATTTGTGGCCGTTACAGTTGAAAATTGGTCACTTTTACGCTGTTGACTACAAACTGGACTAGCAAACAGAATTTCGAGGTTCTAAGACTTTAAACTCTCTTAGATTCTCTTTTATTCACACGGTTCTGGGGAAAGCTTCGGAAAGTCATTCAGTGTCTCAAAAGTAGCCTACAGTGTTGGGGTATTTATCTTTGTCAAGATAACAACAAATAACAACTGATCACAACAAATAAAAACTGATAACCCAAAAATACCTTGACTTTGATTCCAGCCTCAAAAATCAATATTCATGTGGTCAACCAGGCCACTACTTTACGTGCACAACTCCGGAGCAACTACCAGGTGTAGAATATTCTTTAGCGATGACCGGAGTTGCGTCCCCTTTTTTAACTTCACATCGAAAGTAATTTATTGGAAAAAACGTATTCCTGTCTCTTCATTTTTTCCCTCACCAACGTGCATGACATGACATTCTGAGACAATAAAATTAAATTGATGAATTGATTGAAAAAATATAAATTCAATGTATGTGTATAGCCTAGATCTAACAAATCCTGTAGTTTCAGTACCGGTACGTCCTGTTGTATGTAATCATGTCATTACCATTTATTGTTGTCCTGTCTTACAGTTTTGTGTGACAATGAAAATATTATTTAAAAGTTGTATTGGATTGATTACCTTGTGTGAGCACGTTTGTGTTGATATTTGTCGTTATTTTGTTGTTATCAGTTGTTATTTGTTGTTATCAGTTGTTATTTGTTGTTATCTCGGCAAAGATAAATACCGCTGTGTTAGTGTTTAAGATTAATTATAACCAAGGAAATAGCAATGCTGCAACAACACTGTCTGTCTCTTCCCCCACTTCTGTGGAGAGTGTGGACTGTGGACAGCTCCTGGTTATTCAGGCTTGGGGACAGAGAGAAGAAACTGATCTCAGAGTCTCCGCGACAAGGGAGATTATTGGAATCGGAAATGATTTCTCTCGACATCTGCTGCTGACGAATTCTCTAGCGCGTTTTTTACGTGGACTTTTTGGGGGTTGTGAGAGCGAGCGCGCAGACCTATAAATGTTGGCTCTTCTGTCTGTTCGTCATATTCCTCAGTGAGGTGACGAGGATGCTGTTGAGGGCAGTAGTGTGTGCTAAAGTTGTTTTGGATGCATGCACATAAAACACAAAGTTTGTGTTGATTATAGGCTGCACGCTCTACTCTTTAATTATAAAGAAGTCTTCTGATGTTTCTGGAGTATTCTCGGCGGTTTTCACTTCAGTTGAAGATTCAAAGGTGAGTAGATAATCACGAGTTATCCGGCTTGACTGTGGCCTCTGCCCACAATGTATGTATGCATGTTTTTAAAATTATTTTATAGGCTATATGCATGCACGTATATAGATTCTAGATCTATTATGTATGTACGTGCATACATGTATTTATATTATTTTAAAAATAGAATCTACATTATATGTTCTTATGTGTGAATGTTTATATGTATGTATGTGTGTGTGTGTATGTGCGTGCGCGCACGCATGTGTCACTGTGTATATGTTTGCGTATGTGTATGTGTGTGTATGTGCGTGTGTGTATAGATGTGTGCGTGCGCGTGCGCACGCGTGTGTGTGTGTATTTACGTGTTGAACTTTGAATCGCAAGAGTTGTTTTTTTCCTGATTCTATTTTTCCAGGCTTTAAGCATCCTCACTGAACCATGATATTATATTATAATATGACATTGGCCATGCCTTAACCCCGCCTCCCACTCCACCCAATACCTACTATCTACAGCTCGCTCTATGCGCTTTACAACTATTATTACCCCAGCAGATTTTCTGAGAACACCCAGGAACATTCTCGGCTTCCCGAGAAGCATACAGTGCAAGCTGCAGATATCAAACTAACAAGATCTTTCACTGCTGTCTATAGCCGGGTAAACATTTCCAACTGGGTGAAGTGAGGTTTAAATTCGTGCAAAGTGCTTTTTCAAGGACTCAACATCGGGCCCCTGATGGGATTCAAACCCACGACCCTTCCGGTTGCGAATCCGAGAGCCTTATATAACCACTAGGCCACCGACGCCAACAACTACATAGCGGTTAATGTCACAGCAACCATTATTTCTGCTCTCCTCGCACGGAAAATTTCCCGATGCATTTAGGGGAAAGTGTTCCTCGTGGTAAACAAAAGATCATCCCAACAGGGTCGTTACGAAACAACATTGACATCAACATGGAAGGTGGGAGACCTTCTGCTCGCCCCCTCCCTCCGCCCCCACCCCCTTTTTTTCCTTCTTTTTTTTATAGGCATTTTATTTCACGATTATTTTAAATTTTTACTACGTGGCGTCGGTGGTCTTGCGGTTAGGCTCTCAGACTCGCAACCGTAAGGTCCTGGGTTGCGGTCGAGCGGGGATATGCGTTATACAAATGCTATTTATTATCATTATTGTTATTATTACGTCCCTTAAGTTAAGGAATTAAAAGGTGCGCCGTCAGCTCGGTTGGTAACCTGCGAGACTGGCCTCTGTGGTGTGTCGATGTGGCGTTTCATTGTCAGACTCAGAAGCCACGGGTTCAATTCCCGTGCGGGGAGGATTTTTATCGAGTAATTTAGTCCTCCTGTTTTGATGTTGTATCCCTCTCAACCCTGAAAGACACAGTCGAAACCCGCCTCCTAGTTAATTATCTAAGTTGTTTGTTTTAGTAAGGTTTTACGGCGCTCGCAACTGCATAAGGTCATATGAGCGCCAAGGGGTGGATGTCAACAGAGAAGTCCAAACGGGG